GTGGCTCAGTCTTCTTTATTCGAGTGGATCAAGGCTCGTTAGTATGATGGTCTGCACTTGTTGGTCCTTAGAGAGACGGTGTTATGGGGTGATGCCAAGGAGGTTATTATCGGTGATGATGGTGTTCTGTGACTCCAGGGTCGCTTATGTGTTCCTAATATTGATGGCTTGAGGGAGACGATTCTAAAGGAGGCACACAGTTCGCGATATTCTATTCATCTAGGTGCTACGAAGATGTATCATGACCTAAGATAGACTACAGGTGCAATGGATGAAGAAGGACATAGTAGAGTATGTGGTGAGATGTCTAAATTGCCAGCAAGTTAAGTATGAGCACTAGAGGCCAGGTGTTTTACTTCAGCAGATGGTTATACTGAAGTGGAGGTGGGAGCGCATTACTATGGACTTCGTAGTTGGGTTACCGTGGACGTTGAGGAAATTTGATGTCGTTTGGGTCATTGTCGACAGACTGACCATGTCTGCACACTTTATTCCGATGGTGACTACATACTTTTCAGAGAGGTTGGCCCATATTTACATTTAGGAAATTGTCTGGTTGCATGGTGTGCCTATTTCCATCATTTCAGATAGAGGCTCTCAGTTCACTTCGCATTTTTGGAGATCTGTACAAAGTGAATTGGGTACTCGGTAGAGCTCAGTATGGCCTTTCATCCGCAGACCGATGGACAGTTCGAGGGGAATATTTAGATTCTTGAGGATATGCTCAGACCATGTGTGATTGACTTCGGAGGGCAGCGGGATCGATTCTTACCATTGGCCGAGTTTGTTTATAATAATAGTTATCAGTCCAGCATCGAGATGGCAGGGACGGCTAGGTTATATGGTACCGATTTGGTAAAGGATGCTTTAGATAAGGTAAAGTTAATTCAGGAGCGACTCTGCATAGCACAATCCAGACAGAAGAGTTATGCGGACCAGACGGCGCGTGATTTATCATTTATGGTAGGCGAGAAAGTTCTCATGAAAGTCTCACCGATGAAGGGTATCATGAGGTTCGGAAAGAAAGGTAAGCTGAGTCCGAGGTTCGTTGGTCCATTTGAGGTGTTGGAGCAAGTTGGGGAGGTTGCTTACAAGCTTTCCTTTCCTCCCAGTTTATCGGGAGTTCATCCAATTTTCCACGTGTCTATGCTCTGGAGGTACCATGCAGACAGGTCACATGTGTTAGATTACAGTACGGTGGACCTTGATGAGACCTTGGGTAATGAGGAGGAGCCAGTTGCCATAGTTGACAGGCAGGTTCACAAGTTGATGTCCAAGAAGATTTCAGCAGTGAAGGTCTAGTGGAGGGGTCAACCAGTCGAGGAGGCGACTAGAGAGGCCGAGGAGGACATGAGGAGAAGATATCCACACTTATTCAGCACTCCAGGTATGATTCTAGACCCGTTTGAGGATGAACGCTCGTTTAAGAGGTGGAGAATGTAACAACCTAACCGGTCATTTTGCTTAATAGATCCTCGTTCCCCTATTTAAGACTTTACATATGTGTTTTTACTGTTTTATGACTTGCGGAGAAGGTTGGTTTGGTTTTGGAAGGATTGAGGTTGAATTCAGAACACTTAGTTTCATAATAGTGGCCAAGTTTGACTTGAGTCAACACTTTGAGTAATCGACCTCGGAACGGGGATTTGAAGGTTCCAATAGGTTCGTATGATGATTTTGGACTTGGGCGTATGATCGGATCGAGTTTCAGGTGAACCAGGAGCGTTTCGGCTCTTATTGTTAAAAGTTGACATTTTGAAGGTTTTAGAATTTCTTAAGTTTGACTATAAGTGGACTTTGGTGTTATCGATGTCCCTTTGGGATTCCGAGCCATGGAATAGGTTCGTATTGTGATTAATGACTTGTGCATAAAATTTGGCGTCATTATGAGTTGTCTAAGTATGTTTCGTTGCATTCGAAGTTGGTTGAAATGAGTTTGAAGCTTAGAAGTTGATTAATTTGGTTTTGAGGTGAGATTCTTGGTTCAAGTGTTATTTTATGTGTTCAAAGGCTTCGAGTAAGTTCGTAGTATATTTATGGACTTGTTGGTGCCTTTGGACAGGGTCCAGGGTGGCTCGGGTGTGTTTCAGACTACCCGGAGCATGATTGACCGTGGCTAGAATTGCCGGTGTGTTGGTGTGCTAATGTGCTTTGCGATCGCGAAGGTAGTCCTGCGATCACGAAGAAGACTGGTGAAGGTTCCTGGATTTTACTATTCGCGAACGTGATGAGGCTAACGTGAATGTGGTGAAGGACCCGGTCCTCCTTCGTGAACGCGTAGGCCTATTCGCGAACGAGAAGAAGGTTAGGAGTGGGATGGGCCAGAAGGCTGTTTGCCTTCTTGAACGTGACTGGTGGAACCGAGCGTAAAGGACAGGCATAATTGGTTATCGCGAATGCGACGTTAAGGTCGTGAACATGTAGGGTAATCTGGGAAGCTATTGGAAATTGGCCTACCCGATCGCGAGGAATCTTTCGCGAACGCGAAGAAGAATGGGCCTGGCAGAACACTTTTATTTCGGGACTCACCCTGATATTTCCACATTTTCACTTGGTCTTAGGAGAAATTGAGAGCACTTTTGGGGGGATTTCATTAACATCACAAGGTAAGTTATTTCTATCAATTCTTGAGTTAAATATATGGATTATGGGTAGATTTAACATGGAATTAGAGAAATTTTTTGGGATTTTATTTGGAACCTAGGGTTTGGTAAAAATGGATTTTACTATGAAATTAATTATAGAATTGGAAATAAATTATATATTTTTGGAATCCGGGCACGTGGGCCCGGGGTTGACTTTTATGAACTTTTGGTTGGAAAATTAGTTTAATAGTTAAATTATCTTTTGAGCATATATTGATTAGTTTATAAAATGGTTGACTAGTTTCGGATTGCTCGGCATCCTTTCGGGATTTCTAGTGAGGTTAAGAGCCGGATAGTGAACTTAGAAGTAAGGTAAATCTTTTGCCTAACCTTGTAAGAGGAAATTATTCCCTTAGGTATATTAATTAATTATTCCAATTTTAGAATTGTTAATTTTAAAAAAACTTCTAGAACCACGAATCGAACATCAAAACGTATGAAATTCAAAAGAAAACTCAAGAACCTCTAAAATCATAACCAAACGTCTGAATCCTATCAATCCAACTCCAAATTGCACCAAATTTTGCAGACAAATTTCAAATAGAAAAATGGACCTATACCAAGTCCCAAAACTAAAATCGGAACTTGATAACCATAAAATCAACCTACAGTCAAACCTAGGGAATTTCCAAATATTCCAATTGCTAACTTTCGGCAAAATAAGTCAAATCAACATAGGGACCTCCGAGTTTATTTTCGGGTATATGCCCAAGCCCAAAATCACAATATGAACCTACCAGAATTATCAAAATATTGATCCGGGATCGTTTACCCAAAATATTGACTGTAGTCAACTCAAGTTTTTTCTAATGCCAAAAATCACATTTTCTTCAATTTTTTATGCAAAATCTTTCTGGAAAAAGACACGGACCATGCACGTAAATCAAGAATCACCAAGCAAAGCTAGTGGAGGTCTCGAAATACAAAAGTAAGGGCTAGCACTCAAAACGACTTATCGGGTCGTCACAGTTATAGTTACCCCCTATCCACGCCGATCATCTAATGTACTCAACCACTTTCTCAAACAAGAGTTTGTTTAACAACTCGATTACTTATTTAAACAACTCAATTAGTTATTTAGATAACTACAAAATTTATCTAAGTAAATCAATTATTTATTTAAACAACTAGCAAAGTTATTTAAGTGACTTAATTAGTTGTTTAAACAACTAATAAAGTTGTTTAAACAACTCAATCAGTTGTTTAGTTCAATTACTTTTTGACCTTATTTGTATGTGATTTTTGTGTATCTTTGTTTCTGAAACAGAAGATATCATTGGTTTGCACTAATCACTGATTTTAAAAGGTAATAACCAGTTAGAAGGAGTCTCCTTTGTGGGAATGTATATAATTTGTAAAGAAGATACATTTAGTTTTGATACTTAGTAAATCATAGTAAAATAGGGTAAATGGTTTGTAATATAGTACATATTACAAAAGTTTGTAATAGTTTCCATGGTAAAAAAATCCCTGAAAAATAATTAAAAAAGAGCTTGTTTTGCACTTCGTAGCTTTCTGCTAATTTTTCCGATTTTCTGACCTTTGTAACAGAAAAATTCATCCTAGCTGGTTTTGTCAAACAAGACCAATCTGAGGAGAACCATGCCCTACGTAATCCCTGACTTTAGTGATGCAATTCCAAATGTAATTCTTTTTAGCATTTCTTTTTTGGGTTAATCGTCTTCTTTTTATAACGAAAGAAAAAACATGGAAGGGGGAAAGAGAGAATTTTTTGTTTAATGAAATCAAAACATATATAACCCTCCAACGCGCAAAAGACAAACTTAAACCACCTAACACGCAAATGAAGGTAGAAAAAATCAAATAGGAATTGGCAAAATCTTAACGTCTCAGTACGTAAGACGGAGTTTTGAAAAATTTAATAAGAAGTTGACTCAGTTATTACATAATTTATGTCAACGTGTAAATCATTGGTACCATTTAAATTGAAAATGCCACTGCGTATATTAGTCAAAATATCCGTATACGAAAAGTAGGAAATATTGGATCTCACACTCTATTTTCCGATCTTCTGCCATGGCTAATTTAACAATTACTTTCATATTCTTGATGCTTTCAATGCTATTTGCAGCTGTTTAAGTTGGAGCACATAAGCAACCTTCCAACATAACCTTAGGTTCTATTCTTTATCCAAACCGAAATTTGAGTTCTTGGCTATCTTCTTCAGGCCATTTTGCATTTGGTTTCTACTCAAAAGGGGATGGATTTCAAGTTGGCATATGGTTTGAAAACATTGTCGCTTGGACTGCTAGTAGAGATGATCCTCCAGTTCATTCGGGTGGATACCTCGAGTTTACAAAAGAAGGCAAACTTATTCTATGGACAAAGTAGAACATGAAAGTCATTGCAGAATCTCCAAAGCCAATTACTTCAGCTTACATGCTTGATTCTGGTAACTTTGTTATCTATAATAAAACAGATGTCATTTGGGAATGTTTTGATTATCCAACGGACACCCTCCTCGTTGGCCAGCGCCTAATATCGGGCCACAACCTTGTCTCTAGTGTCAGTGAAATTGATCATTCAATTGAGAGATTTTATTTGAGTATGCAGGCTGATGGGAACCTTGTTGCATATCCAACCAATTACATATACCTGAGGCTTCCTACCGGGCTTTCATGTAACAAAGTAGAGGCGAATTCGGTAATGTTGATTCAGTTTTTGTGAGTCTTACTCCAAGAGGACAACTGTTTAGAAATGCTTCTAATGATTTTGGTTTTCAAGTGAATGAAATAGCAAATAGTTCAACTCGAACACCAAATAAGACAGTGATTTATCGCACTACTCTTGATCCTAATGGTATGTTTAGGCTTTATACACACAGTTTTGAAGGCATAGATGAATCGAGCTTGGAAATTAATTGGTCATCGCTAAAAAATCAATGCCAAGCCAGGGGATTCTATGGTGTAAACAGTTATTGTACTGCAAGAAATGGCAGCATCACATGTGCTTGTTCTTGTTTACCAGTATTTTTATATGTCAACCATGAAATGAAATTCCAAGGGCGCTATCGGAGATTTGTTTATGAAGAGTCTTGTGAAAGAAGCAACTCTACATTATTGGCCTACAATCTCACCATGATTCAACACTTAAAACTTGAGGATATCCATTTTCTTAGGTTTCAATCGTTGAGCAGGATTGCAGAAAATCTTGCTTGGAGGATTGTACTTGTTGGGCTACTCAATATGTGAATGGAGTTTGCAGCAAATTCAAGCTTCCATTAATCTATTCAACACTTGATCCAACTTATCAGTCTGTCAAGGCTTTTGTCAAGCAGAGCTACAATATTTCCCAAATTGCAGGCCACACTGTTCCCTATCCTGGAAAAGCTGGGAATAGAAATAAAAGCCGGAAAGAGATAATCTTGATTCTATCCCTGACTCTTGGCTTCGTAGCATTTATGCGTACGGTTGTTGCAATTTGTAGTTATCATTTCTACAGAAGCAGTGAGGGCCAATATCAAAAACTGTTGGAAAATCCATATTTGGGGCCAAACGAGGAGTTCACTCTTCGATCATTTTCTTACAGCGAGCTTGAAAAAGCCACTGAACATTTCAAGGAAGAGATAAGGCATGGTTCATTTGGAAATCTCTATAAAGGAATTTTATCAGAAGGTAATAGAACGATTGCTGTAAAACGACTGGAGAAGTTGGGTGATGAAGCAGAAAGGGAGTTTAAAGCAGAAATGACAGCAATTGGGCAAGCTCGTTGTCGCGACCCATTTTCTCGTGAAAGCGGGCTTTCGGCATTGTGACAACTCTTTTGAGTGGGAGGTAAAGTTTTAAAAGAAGAAGAGTCGCCACCTAATGATTTTTAAGATGCGTTAGGGCACCTATTATGCAAATGACTCTGTTTGACTAGTCAGCATCACCAAAGATCGGGTAAGGGCTCAAATTACCTCAAATAGAAAGTGTTAGGCACTCTTCGAGGTCCACAACTGTGGGTCCCGACCGAAAATAAGATTATGTGGATTACAATTAGGCTAAGTGATCAAATAAACAAAGTGAATGTAAAGGTCAAAGAATTTCATTACAACCTGATTAGTATAGATCTTAGTACGAATATAGAGATACAACTATTTGGATCTAATAACAACATATAAAAGAGGGGGAGGGGGTCTTAAGTTTTTTAGCCTAAAGGATCACCCCGTACAATATAAATAATACTTTGCAACTCCCTTGAGGTAGGTAGTTACGCATATTATTCAGCGGGCACAGACTATCATCTCCTACTGCCCGATTTTTATGTTAAAGTTGTTTACCTAAGCGCTCTAATCCAATTCTTAGTCGTGCCCTATGTGTGCACTATCCATCCCATACCTATGGTCTAGGAGGCATTGGACCTCTATTTAGGGTGGTTCTAGACTTAACTTAGGCTGCTCAAAATGATAAAACTAGGCGACATACAAAACAAATTGGACTTCAAATGAGAGCAGTTAAAGGCTCAAGTTAGCCTCCACACTTAGACAACAAATGCACGTAAAATAGGTTTTCACATTGAGCATTGGACAGTTTTAGAACTGAAGACAATTAGAAATCATTAAGCCCTATAGTCATGGTTTCTATGTGACCTTGGATTCAAACGCGCATATATGACATTACTGCTTCTAGTGGCTTAGACGAGGAAGCAGTAAACCATTTGTTGTTAACGCTGGTTTTAGATACCAGTTTTAGAAAGGTGACATTGTCCTACAGACATGATATCTAATAGTGGCATAGTTAAGCAAATGAAAATAGTTCTGGGAACCCAGACTTGACAAGGGGATAAACATTAAGCGAATGACAGTATCCTATAGGACAGATCTCTAACAATTGACAATCGAACCTTGATTTTATAACACTTTACCTCTATGAGCAGGTTATCTAGGTGGAGCAATAACAATAACAGTAGCTAATTGATTAGTCAAGGTCCTACAGGCATGACTTCTAGGTGAAAATAAAACATAAGCTAGTGAGATCCTATAGGCAGGGTATCTAAAGAATATGTTATAATCATACAAATCGAAAGAAAGTTCACTGGCATTTATTTCCTGTATGCTATCTAGTAGCACATAGCAGTAGAATAAATAGAGAGTTTACACCCGTGCTTTGATGGTAGACAAGTTATGTGAGTGTGTGAGTTTCCTAAAGGCATGATTTCTACCAGTGGAAGTTAAATGGCATATACAGCAAGTCAGATAACAAGTAAATCACATGAATCCTATGGGCATATTTTCTACCCTTGCATGCAAATATCAGAGTATACCCGTTCCCCAGTTTCACTATCACCCCAATTGTTCATTACAAAGTTATTACAGCCCCAATGATAAACATAATTACAAAATATTATTCAAGCAATGACAATAGGCCACAACGGGCCCAAAAGGAAATACCCAGCATTGCCTGGTCCTTCAACAACTCTCACAGAGCATACCCAGATTCCCAGCAGGGAACTATATTCATCAGCATAACCCAGAAGCCATAGTAGAACTCAAGCCAAACCTAACATCCATAGATTGACAAATATTACCCAGGCATTCAATCACTTAAACTAAACAGTTTACATATTTCGTGGATAGTAGAAAGAAAGAGATGAGTGTCAGAGATAGCTCAGGTCTCAGTAGCAAAGAGAGTGGCTAAAAGACCCCAAATCCTAGCGTGTCAGAGTTCACAAGAGTCTCAAATGGACCCTGAGCAGTGCTCACACTAGGGAGGTCAGTAGTAATAGTCTTGGTGGCCATGGCTTTCAGCCGGCCAAGAATGATAAGTTCAGAATAGCATAGGTAACAAATGAGAGGGAGTGGACAGTGGTGAAGGGACAGAAGTTGAGGAAATACACTTATAGTTTAGAAAGAAGACATAGCAAAGTTGAGAACACAGAATAGTTAATCAAAAGGTCAAGAAGATTTAGAAGCAGGTGCAACACTTAGCAAAAATAACATATTGTCAGAAAGCACGTTAGGAGTTGGAGGAGAATCAAGTTCCCTGAGATTACAAGATCAACCAGATTATCATACTAAGGTGCATATTATTAAACAAGTCTAAGTGGGGCACTAACTTAAAAGGTTTAAAGCTTAAAGGTCCAAATTATGCTAAGGATTCATCACAATATAAGACAGCCCTGTTAACTTATATCATGAAGCAGAAAAGTATCAAACATGGTATGAAAACACAAACTAAGATAACTATTCTAAAGGTTTCAAACAGTTACTAAGGATATAGGATTAAGCAAAATAGAGACATGCTGTGAGACATATCAACAGAGGAGGGGGGCAGATCATAGTTGATAGAAAAGGTCTTAACATAGATTAGAACACATTACATGTGCAAGTCTGTCGTTACAGATATTTAGGACATAGTGGGAAACCAAGCTCATGTCAAATAGCAAACGTAGGCATTCAAGTATTTACATAGTAGACTAATGCACTTAAGAGGGTTCAAATTATTCAAATTAGGCATAAACATGTCTCAGAACTGGCAGCATTAGGTAAAATTAAATACTAAAGAGGTTCAAAACAAATGCAAAACTAATCAAAGTTGCACACAAAAGTAGCCCAAAACACATTAAGCCATGAATTTCAGAGGTAAGAATGTGCGATTCATAAACACATAAGAAAGAAATTGCAAAGCCAAATGACTTACCAGTTAAACGGACAATAAGAAAGAACAAATTCCACAATGTTTCTGAGTATCAACAAAGAATAAGAACCCAGAATCTCAATGCGTCAAAGTTACCAAGGGCTTCAAAGGAACCTCGGGCAGTGCTCGCACCAAGAAAAGGTTGGAAAGTCAAATCCCGGTAGCCTTGGCTTTCAGCCGACCAAGAATCAAGGTATAGAACAAGAGAACGAGAGAACAATAAAGTGATAGCTCCAATATTTAGTGAAAATCTAGCGATTAAGGTCCGTCTCAAAAGGGAATGGGAGGGGTTTATATAGTGAGTGAAATCGAACAAGTAAACAAGAAACACTGTAAAATCAAACATAAATAAGGAAGTAATAACATGAAGAATCAATAAAAATCGGACTAGGGGAAAAAATAGGTAAACCCTAGTTGACAGAAATCAGAAATTGGCTAGAAATCCTGGCTAATCGGACCCATATAGCCTGGTCATGATGTATATGGACTAAATACTGTCCAGATTCAAGCGATTGAAGTTGAACGGACCCAAATCTAAGAGATAGTACTTGCCAAGTTTAGGCAAGTAATAAGTGATAGCATAGCCTTGCAAGTAGTACCGAGATAACACATAAAAGGTAAGGAAATCATGGAAAGAATGCATGATTGAGACGGATTTGGAGAAAATTGAGAGGTCGGCTACGATTTTTGAGGAGATGAGAAGAGAGGATTCAAAGGAAGCGTCTGGGAGGAAAATGATAGGGTTTTGGGGCGAGTTAGGTTAATTAAAATGGGGGAATGGCCAGGATTAGAGGAGAAGCGGGTGGATCAAGGAACGGGTCCCGACCGGGTTATAACTAAAGAGGTCATTTGGTCTTGGGCCAGGGGGTTGGGCTAAGGATACGGGGCCAATTTTGGTCCAAACAATTAGTATAAATCTGGACTATTATTTAAATAGGCAATATTTATCGAAAGTAACTTATAAAAATGATTAATAAATAAATAAAAATATTATTTATGCACCAAAATGATTAAAAATAATAACTTACTATTATAAAAAATATAAAATGCTATTTTGACATAAATAATATAAATAAAGAGCATTTATGTATGAATAAGGGTTATTACTGTAAAATTGTGCAAATAGCCTTTAAAATACTAATGTAATTATATAAAAATATGAAGTAAAATATTTGAAACCTGTGTTAAGGTGTAAATAATAATTTTAGGTAACTAACAACAACAACAACAACCCAGTAAAATCCCACTAATGGGGTCTTGGGAGGGTAGTGTGTACGCAGACCTTACCCCTACCCCGAAGGAGTAGGAAGGCTATTTCCGAAAGACCCTCGGCTCAAGAAAACAAAAAGACAAAAGGACAAAAGGAGACAATATTAGTATCACCACAGCAATCATAGGAAAAATAGGAACACCATGAAATGCAGAAGAAAGATGCAAAGCAAAAACGATAGCTAGTAAATATGATATGCACTAAAAAGCGAAGTAGTAAAACACAACATTGTCACTAGCTATCTTAGACAAAAACCCTACCTGGCTAGTCCCATAATGATACGAAGTAAGGCAAGACTCAACTACATCCTAACCTACAACTCTAATACTCGACCTCCACATCTTCCTATCAAGTATCATGTCCTCGGAAATCTGGAGCCTCGCCATATCCTGTCTGATCACCTCTCCCCAATACTTCTAAGGCCGCCCTCAACATCTTATCGTGCCCTCCACAACCAGTCGCTCACACCTCTGTACCGAAGCATCTAGGCTTCTCCTTTGAACATGTCCGAACCATCTAAGCCTCGCTTCCCGCATCTTGTCATCAATTGGAGCCACATGCACCTTCTCCCGAATAACATCATTCCTAATCTTATCTATCCTAGTGTGCCCGCACATGAACCTCAACATCCTCATTTCTGCTACTTTCATCTTCTGGATATGTGAGTTCTTAACAGGCCAACGCTCAGCCCCATACATCATGGCCGGTCTAACCACCGCTTTATAGAACTTACCTTTGAGTATTGGTGGCACTCTCTTGTCACACAGGACTTCAAATGCTAACCTCCACTTCATCCATCCTACCCCAATACGGTGTGTGACATCCTCGTCAATCTCCCCTCCCCCCTGGATAACCGAACCAAGGTAC